ATCTTTATTAAATAGTAAAATATTTTTATTTATTTTAAGATGTGAATAAGTTAAATTTATATGAATAAAAAGTCATCATTCCAAAACTCCACATGTATGTACCCACAAAACCATCAGCCTTTTCTCTGACCACTTCACCCCCAAACCCAAGAAAACAGCTGGATGCTCTGGCAGGTTTGGCTCAGTGAATAGAGCCTTGGCCTGCATACTATTCCAGTCAAGCTGGCTCAATCCCCAGTGGGGGTCGTGTAGGAGGTGGCCGATCCATGATTCTCTCTTCATTGATGTTTCTCTCTCTCCCACTCCCTTCCTCTCTGAAATCAATAAAAATATATTTAAAAAGAAAGAATGAAAACAGGTGGAACAGAACACAATGGGCCTGTCCAAGAAAGGGTGATCCTTTTCCCTTCATTTATTTATTGTATCACTAGAGGCCCATGCATGAAATTCATGCACAGTAGGATCCTTAGGCCTGGCCAGTGATTAGGGCTGATCAGGACCTTCTGACTGTGTGTTGGGGCCTTCCTTCATTCCTCACTACCCCCTGGTGGTCAGCGCACATCATAGGGAGGGATGGAACTCCTGGTCTCCCAGTTGAACTCCGGAGGGGACACATTGCATATTAGCCTTTTATATATATAGATTTATACCATATGGACTCATGGGTATTTAATTCTTTGGATTAAAACTAGAATCAGATTCCATTGTCTTCTACTAAAACTTTCCAGAGGCTTTCCTTTATATTTGAGTAAAATCCAAGTGCCTTGCTTACCTACGCTTTTATTTTTATTTTTATTTATTTATTTATTTATTTATTTTTTTTTTTTTTAAATATATTTTATTGATTTTTGTACAGAGAGGAAGGGAGAGAGATAGAGAGCCAGAAACATCAATGAGAGAGAGTCATCGATCAGCTGCCTCTTGCACACCCCCTACTGGGGATATGCCCGCAACCAAGGTACATGCCCTTGACCGGAATCGAACCCGGGGCCCTTCAGTCCCCAAGCCGACGCTCTATCCATTGAGCCAAACCGGTCCCGGCTATTTTTTAAAGCAATCTTTATTGTTCATATTATTACAAAGGTTCCTCATTTCTTCCCCCCTCCACCAGGTTCCCACCCCACCCTCCGTCCCCCCCCCTCATCCCCCATTGTCCTCATCCATAGGTGCAGTTTATGTTCAGTCTCTTCTTCCCTCAATTTCCCCAATAGTAAATCCCTTTTCAGATAGTAAATCAGTTACTTAGCATTTTCTCATATCAATAATACCTCCACATGCCCAATGATACACTTCACACAAAAGACATTTCCCACTAGGTCAACCAGCCTCATCCAGGCCCCACCCAAGGCACTCACAGATCAACACCCCAGTCCTAAACTAACTCAACACATCCAGATCAAAGCCTTCATCACTTGATTCAGCAGACACTCAAGTTCCCACGAAAGTTTCCAGCCATGTCTGAGAAGCAGCCGTGGGGCAGGGGCAGGCAAGGAGCGAGCTGTTCTGGGCCTGGCTGCTCAGGGCCTGGCCTCTGTTGCTCTCGTTCATTCCACAACCAGCTGCTCCGGGTCTGGTCACTGCCGCTCCCGACCTAGTTGCTCTGGACTTGGCTGCTGCTCCCCCGGGCCTGGCCGCTCCCAGCCTGGCAGCCGCTGCTCCGGGCCTGGCCGCACCAGCCCCGTCTGCTCCCCCGGGCCTGGCCGCTCCCAGCCTGGCAGCCGCTGCTCCGGGCCTGGCCGCACCAGCCCCGCCTGCTCCCCCGGGCCTGGCCGCTCCCAGCCTGGCAGCCGCTGCTCCGGGCCTGGCCGCACCAGCCCCGCCTGCTCCCCCGGGCCTGGCCGCTCCCAGCCTGGCAGCCGCTGCTCCGGGCCTGGCCGCACCCGACCCGCCTGCTCCCCCGGGCCTGGCCGCTCCCAGCCTGGCAGCCGCTGCTCCGGGCCTGGCCGCACCCGACCCGACTGCTCCCCCGGGCCTGGCCGCTCCCAGCCTGGCAGCTGCTGCTCCGGGCCTGGCTGCACCTGACCCGGCTGCTCTGGGCCCGGCTGCCCCGGGCCCGGCCGCTCCGAGCCTGGCCACTCCCGACCTGGATGCTCTGGGCTTGGCTACTGCTGTTCTGGGTCTGGCTGCTCCCACCCCGGCTGCTCTGGACCCGGCTTCTTCGGGCCCGGCCACTCCGGGTCTGGGTGTTCCTGGACTGGCCACCCTGGGCTTGGCCGCCTCCGCCTCATGCCTGGCTGCCACTGCCCCAGGTCTGGCTACTCCAGTGCTGGCTGTTGATGCTCTGGTTCTGGCTGCTGTTGTTCTGGGGCCTGGCCGTTGCTGCTCCGGGTCTGGCTGCCACTGCCTTGTGCCTGGCCACTCTAGGCCTGGCCGTCGCTGTTCCAACATTCTGTCCTTTTTTTTTCTTTTTAAAACGCATTTATGTTGCAATGTTGGCTGGTGAGTTGAGTTCTGACTTAGTCTTTGATTTTTCAAGATCTTCTTTGTATTCTTTCTTAAGTAATTTTACTATTTTTTGCTCTCACTTGATTTCTTCACATTGAGAACTTCTTTGGTTTCTTCCTCCTTGTCCTGGGAGCTCAGCAGGTTGGCCTGTGGCACCCCTTTGTTCTCCGCGGGCTCCTGCGCTGCTTCAGCCTGTTGCCGGGACAGCGCCGCCCAGGAAGCAGCCCCCGGCCTTGGCTCCATTGCCTGAGCTCAGTGGTCAAAGGCTCAGGGGCACCCACGCCCCCCAGGGGCCCCGTGGCCCGCCTCCTTGCTGGTGCCCGGTTGGCTGGAGTCCGGCAGGGGCTTCCGCTCCCCTCCACGTTCCCCCAGCCTAGAGCTTTTTTTTTCTCCTTCCCGCTAGGGAAGTCCAGCATCAGAGTCAACAGACTGTCCTCTGCGCGCAGTTTGCGCGAGTCCCACAGACTGTCCTCTGCGCACAGTTTGCGCGAGTCCCACAGACTGTCCTCTGCGTGCAGTTTGCGAGAGTCCCGGGGGCCCGGCCTTTCGCCGCCCTCCCCGGACTCCACCTCACAGCCCCGTCTCCCTCTGCCTGAGCCTGGGTCCCCAGGGATTGGCCCAGAACTGGGGTTCGGAGCAGTCCAGACTGAGGCTGAGCGCCGCCGGAGGCCTTGTTTCTTCCGGCTAGGGCAACCCAGCATCAGAGTCAACATTCAGTCCTCTGCGCTCGCATTGCGCACGACTCCCGGGGCCCTGCCTTTCGCCGTTTTTCCGCCTCACGGCCCCGTCTCCTCCCACCAGAGCCTGGGTCCCCAGGGTCTGGCCTATAACTGGGGCTCAGCGCTGCCGGTTCGGGGGGGCTCAGCGCTGCCGGTTCGGGGGTTCAGCCCAGGCTGGGGGTTTTATTTCCTTCCTGCTAGGGAAGGAAAGGCGGCTCCCCGCCCTCTCCTCCTCTCCGGCTGCGACCTCTCCGTGCGCGCGTGCGTGTGGGCAGGCGCGAGCAGCATGTCTCCGTACCTTAGGCTTTTTTTCAGCTCCTCTGATTTTCTTTCTGGTTTTCTCTTTCCTTCTTGTTGTAGAAATTTCAGTCAGTCGACTACCTGTAGCTCTGGGCAATGTCCACTCTACATTTTAGTTGTATTCCATTGAAATTGTTGTGTGCTGCCGCGGCTAGATGTCTACCCGAGCAGCCATCTTGGATCCTCTCCTTACCTACGCTTTTAAAAAAAATGTTTTAATTGATTTTTAGAGAGAAAGGGAAAGGTAGAAACACCAATGAGAAACATTATTGATCAGCTGCCTCTTGCACGTCCCCCACTGGGAATTGAGTTCACAACCCAGGCATGTGCCCTGACTGGGAATTGAACCAATGACCTCTTGGTTTATGGGTTAACACTCAACCACTGAGCAATACCAGCTGGGTGCTCATACACTCTTTACCTGCTTCCTGGTCCTTGTCTGTTTTTCTTGCTCATTCTTGCTCTGGCCCAACTGGCCTTGTTGCAGTCTCTCAGTTATACCACCCTCACTCCCCTGAAACCATCGTCTTTGTTGGAATATTCCTTGCCCTCACCGAGCCTCTTTCTGACTGCCTAAGCAGCATTCTTTCTACCTGAAATAAGAAATTTATTTCCTCGTTTATCATCTGTTTTGTTCACTGCTGTATGCACTTCGTTTAGAACACAGTAGGTGCTCAATAAGTAGTAGTTGAGAGCGAGGCTGGAAGAATAAGGAGAATGAGATCCATTCACTTCCACTCTGATTATAGTAACAATAGCTAGCTTGCATCTGAGATATACATATGCCAGATAGTCAGGGGCACTACACTGTAAGTCTTGGCTTCATCATGTGTAAAATGAAGATGTAAGAGGACCAAAACTGTTGCAAAGATGAAATGAACACACACACAGATGGTACTCAGCAGACATGCAACTATTATTAGTATCATGTGTAAAATGTACATAGAATTGTTGTGGCTCAGAACAGTGTCTGGCACATGTAAAGGGCTGTATAAGCGATTGATGCTATCATCACTATCACCATCATCACACCAGGCCGGGCCCTCATCTAAAAGATGCTTTAATCGAATCTCATTGCGGTTTGGACCCTGGGTGCTCGCCAGACCTCCCCGCTGACATCTCTGGGCTGGGGATTCAGGTCCTTCTGGACCACAGGCTCTTATCGCCCCGCCCACCGGTCTAAACCGCCCGGGTCTCCATAGAAACCCACCAACCACGGAGGGGCGGGACGCCATCGAAACGGACAGGGGCCTCCACCTATCGAATCAAAGCCATCTCGGGGTGAGGCACATACAGGACCTCTGATTGGTGCGTCCTTGCAGGAAGGCGGGAATACGTCGATAACCGCGGGAGCCGTGCCGTACCCAACCAATCAACGGCCGAGGTGGCAGTGATGGACAGACAGAGAGGGACGAGGCCCGGAGTTTGGGCTTTTACCCAACCAGAGGTCCACAACCTCGCGAAAAGGCCAATAAGGAGGCGGTGGGGGTGGGGCGAAGAGGCCGGTTGCTCCGGAAGTGGAGGGAGGGGATGAAAATGGCGCCCAGCTCGAAATCGGAGCGGAACAGCGGGGCCGGGAGTGGCGGCGGCGGCACCGGGGGCGCCGGGGGGAAGCGGACGGCGGGGCGGCGGCGGGAGCACGTACTCAAGCAGCTGGAGCGAGTCAAGGTGAGGCCCGGAGCCCGGATGGAGCGCGCCTGAGGGTGCGGAAGAGCGACGGGGGAAGCGGAGGGAGGGCGTTTGCGGGGTGAGGGGTTGTGGGCGGAGTCCCGGGTAGGGGGCTCGCAGGGAGGGAGGGAGGCAGGGAGCGGGCGGCGCCCCGGGGAGAAGGCTCGGATGCGGGGGCTGTGTCGGGACTGGGATGGAGGCGTGGGAGGCGGGGCACGGGCCGCGGAGCTCGGATGGAGGCGCCGCTGCAGGAGCCAGTGGAGGATCAGGAGGAAGGGGGCGACCCCGGGGTGGCCTCCTTTTTCCCCAACCCTCCTCCCGCGGCCCCTCCGGCGTGCAGCCTCCGCGCCCCCTCGGCGGAGCCCTGGCCGCCTGCTTGGCGCTCCCTCCGCTCGGCGCTCCCCTCTCTGTGCTGCTCGGACCTCCCGGAGCCGGAGCCGCTGTACCTGCTGCCGCCACCCCCGCTGAATGGGAGGTGGCTCCCTGCGGGGGCCTGGGCTTCCCCCTCCGACGGGGCCACCTGAGCAGGGCTTTTTTTTTTTTTTTTTTCTTCTCCGCCATCAGACTACATTTCCAGGGAGCCAGGGTCTCTGCCCCATCCGTCTGGGAGCTCGGGAGGGCAGAGGGCTGTGCATCCGTGGTCAGGCCAGCAGCAGGGAGGCCAGGGCTGAGTCGCGGTGGGTGGGGAGGGAGTGTGCCCTGTCTGTTAGGCTGGGAGCCTGAGGACGGCCGTGTCTCCTCCTTCTGACTGGAGCTCCCAGGGCGGGGACAGCCTCCGCCCTTAGCCTGGGAGCTCCCTGGATGGGCATCTGGGTGGCGGGTCTAACTTGTGGGGCTGGGCCTTACCGGCAGGGCTGTTCCATCAGACTAGGGTCTCCTTGAGGGCGGGGCTGTTTCCCGCAGCGGTCCGCAAGCTCCCCAGGCAGCTCTTTCCCATTGGAGTGGGCTTGCTTGAGGGCAGGACTGTTTATCTCCTGTCAGACTGGGTGGCAGGACCCAGGGTGCCCACATCACCTTGCACCCTTCCTTCCTTGAAGTTGAGAGACAAGGGAGTGGGTTTAAAGAGGGCCAAGTTAATGGAGAAGGGGAATCAGGAAGGAATTGGAAGGTCACTGGTCAGCCCCAGCGCCACCCTTTTATCTGCCTCAGTTGGTCCTCAGCTGAGGCCACAGCTGTCCCAAGGGGCCTGAGCACCCCATGGTTAGGCAAGGGGGTTGAGGACAGGTGAGTGCAGTTGGTCAAGCCCCCATGCCAGCCTTCTTAGCAGTTTTGGACACCCACAGCTCAGGGTGCCATGAGGCAGCCTGCAGGAAGGCAGCCAGGTGGCCGGCAGATGTGGGCAGGGGGAACGGGGGAACCTTCCTTCCTGGGGGAAAGGAGATGATGCCAGTGCTGTCCTCAGAGTCTGGGGCCTTGGCAAGAGGGACCCCGAGGCTGAAGACGTGGGGGTCTGGGATGGTGGCCTGGGTCCGTGCTGGAGAGGGTGGCTCAAGGGAAATGCAGCTTTGCTATCTCCCCTAGCCAGTCTCACCTTCCAGAGCTTGGGCCATCTTGGTCGTTATGGTTGGAAGGTGTGGGTTCAGTGCTGTTATACCTGGGCGAGGGGCCTGGGGACTGCAGGTGGCCTCTGTCCAATGGTGCCTTAAAGAGTCCTGGCCGCCCCTTCCCCAGATCAGCGGGCAGCTCTCCCCTCGACTCTTCCGGAAGCTGCCACCCAGGGTCTGTGTCTCCCTTAAGAGCATCGTGGACGAGGACTTCCTCTATGCAGGGTGAGGCTAAGGCCGGGCCGGGGGGGGGGGGTGGCTGGGTGGGGGGACAGGCCGGCCCTGACCTGGCCCCTCTGCCCTTGCCCTGCCAGACACATCTTCCTGGGCTTTTCCAAGTGCGGCCGGTACGTGCTCTCCTACACCAGCAGCAGCGGGGACGATGACTTCTCCTTCTACATCTACCACCTGTACTGGTGGGAGTTCAACGTGCACAGCAAGCTCAAGCTGGTAGGGCCAGGCTCGCGCACAGGTCACGCCACCCCTGAACCTCAGTTTCCTTCTTCAGAAAATGGAGAGTGTGCGCTCATTGGGTCATGGTCAAGGCTCATGTTAGGTCAAACCACATGAAATTGCCGTTGTTAAGAGTTGAAAATGAGTAAATAATGGTAATTTTATGAGGTTCAACTCAGCATGTACAGTCCATAGAACTCAGTGTCTACAGGAGGGATCTATTAGCTTTGTTATAAGACCAAGTGTGTTGCCCTGACCTCGACTCCCCAACCCCATCCCTACTCCAGGTGTGCGGGTGCTTTTAGCCCCGTTTATACATGAGCTCAATGGCATGGGAGCTGGGGCAGGGCTTCCTGGGCTACACCCAGCCTTCTGTCTCCCCCATTTGTGGACTGTCTCCCAGCCCGTCCTCAGGAAGGCAGAGGGATGCAGGCTGGAGGCTGCTCGGGGTGCTTCTGCCAGCCTTAGTTCCAGCCCAGCATGCCCTCGGGTGGGCCCCTGTGGACCCATCCGCTTTGACCCTGCCCTGACACAGACGTGCCGCTCAGATCCGGCAGGTGCGGCTCTTCCAGGACGAGGAGATCTACAGTGACCTGTACCTGACTGTGTGTGAGTGGCCCAGCGATGCCTCCAAGGTCATCGTCTTTGGCTTCAAGTGAGACTCAGAGATGGGGAGGCTGGGGTTGGCTAGGGGAGGGCACAGGGACCAGGCAGCTGAGGCTGTGCTTGTCCCCAGCACCCGTTCGGCAAACGGGATGCTCATGAACATGATGATGATGAGTGACGAGAACCACCGAGACATCTACATCAGCACCGTGGCTGTGCCACCGTCCGGCCACTGCGCCGCCTGCCGGGAAGCCAGCCGGGCCCATCCAGGTGAGGGGCTTGGGGGGGGCTCAGGCCGCCCGCTTCCTTACTGCAGGGTGGCGACCGAGCCCGTGGCTGTGTGTCCCTGCAGGTGACCCCAGCGCGCAGTGCCTGCGACATGGCTTCATGCTGCACACCAAGTACCAGGTGGTGTACCCCTTCCCCACCTTCCAGCCCGCCTTTCAGCTCAAGAAGGACCAGGTGGTTCTGCTCAACACCAGCTACTCCCTGGTGGCTTGTGCTGTCTCAGTCCACTCGGCAGGTAGGCCCCCGGGCGTGAGGACAGTCACAGCGTTTGTGTGACAGGAAGAAACTGAGGCTGGGAGGAGTGCCTCATCCAAGGTCACAGCCACAGAGTGGGAGTGCTAGGACGCAGACCCAGCCTCACCAGCATTGTCCTGAGAACAGAGGGGCTGGGTGTTCCCGTACCCGTGACCGCTACAGCTGCCGCCAGTAGAAACATGGCAGAGGCCCGTGTGACCAAGGACTGTTTGAACGATTTTATTTAGGTGTAAAGGCATTTGGGCTGGCTACCTCCTCTGAACCAGGAGGTCACAGTTTGATTTCCAGTCAGAGCACATGCCCGGGTTGCAGGCTTGATCCCTAGTGTGGGGCGTTGAGGAGGCAGCCCTTCAATGATTCTCATCGATGTTTCTATCTCTCCCCTTCCTTTCCTTTCTGAAATTCATAAAAAAAAAAGAAAAAAAAAAAAGGAATGTCACATTTGCCAGCAGCTATCACGCTGGACCACATAGTATTGCCTCCTCAAAAGGAGAAACGTTCATTCAGAATTGTAGGGAGTGGTGAGTGGACAGATTACCTCTTACATCTTTGGTAATCACAAGTACCAGTGGCAATCAGAAGGTGATGTCCCTTGACAGAGGGCAGTTGTCAGAAAGCTGGGTAATGCCGCTGGCTTCCGGCTATGGAGCCTGGCGGCTTTCCACAGCTCTCCCAGCTGCGTGGGAACAGAGAGTGACTGAGGCCCACAGCCCTGTGCCTGGCATATCCAAAGCTGTGGTGGTGGGAGCTGGGGTCACCTGGTGTCCATTCCTGGGATGTGGAGGCAACACTAGGGAGGGTCGGCAGCCCAGTGTGAGCTCCAGTACCCTGTCCAGCGAGCATGTCTCAAAAGGCATTTGCAAATGCAAAAGAAATACAAGCTCTAGAACAGAATCACACACATAAATTAGAAATGTCTCAATTTTGCAAGAATGCAGTCAAATAAAAAGATGCCCACTAACTGTTCAAAGGGTCGCCTGGGGCAGGAGGCTGTGGGCATGAAGAGCGGACCGAGTGTCTAAAACAGCACACAAGTGCGCTCTCCCTCATGCCTTTCCCATCCTCCCTTCACCCCCGCCCCCCACCCCCAGTCCGTTACCTCTGCCTTTCTCCTAAGCTCCAAAGCCCTTGTTTCCTGAGCCTATGCAACCCAGCTGGCTCACTTACTAGCTCTGGACATTTCTAAATAAACTTTCTCAGCATTTGAAAAAAAAAAAAAAAAAAAATGGAGCCCACAAACTAGCCAGAACCAGGGCATCTTGTGTCTGGGCCCATCAGACGTGCCCTGGTCACCTGTGCCCTTGTAGGCAAGGCCTGCCCTGGTTACGCTGCAATCCTCTAATGAGCCTGTCCCGGTGGGCCGGTGCTCCCCGCCTCAGTGTGGGTCCTGTTGGGAAGGACCATGTCAGACAGGACTCAGCCATGTGCACCAGCCAGGGGAGGGGCACTGTCACTGATGTGTGAACACTCATCTCGCCAGAGGAGGTATTTTCACAGAGTTCTGACCTGGCTGTGTTGTGGTGGACCAGCGTGCACGGATGGACACGGAGTGTGGTGTGGTGTGGTCTTGGACAATTTTCTGTGAACCGAGAACTATCCCACCCTCAGCCCCATTGCTGCTGGGCGGGGCGGGGTCCAGAGGAGAGGGTGCAGGCTGGGCTCAGGGCCTGGCCCTGGTGCTGCTTAGTTCAGTGAGTGGTGGGGCTCTCAATGCCGAGCCACCGCCTGGCTCCCTGGGGAAGATGGAGTGTAGTAAACTCTCAAACTTACGTGGCTTTTTGAAGAATCTTCACCCGAGGATGTTTGTTTAGAAAAAGTATTTTATTTATTTTAGAGAGGAAGGGGGAGAGGGAGAGAAACATCGATCATTTGCCCCAGGGGGTATCAGACCTAGATGTGCCTTGACCAGGAATCGAACCTGCCACCTTTTGGTGTATAGAACGATGCTTCAATAGACTGAGCTACCCTGCCAGGGTGTGACTTTCTGTGTGTTTGTTTTGCTTTGTTTTTTTTGTTTTTTTAATTTTATTGATTTTTAGAGAGAAAGGGAGAGGGAGAAAGAGATATTCAGCATAAGAGCGTTCGGCTACCTCCTGCATGTTCCCTAACCCAGGACCAAATCCGCAACCCGGGTATGTGCCCTGACTGGGAGTTGAACCAGCAACCTTTCCACACCGAGCCACATGGGCCAGGCTGTTTTCCTTTTGTTTGTTTGTTTATTTTTATGTGGCTTTTATCTGCTGTCACCGTAGACTGTCAGCTTCCCAAAGGCAGGGATGTTTTCAGTCTTGTTCACTCTTGTCTTCTGTGTGGCATCCAGAGATGCTCCCGAATCACAGAATGAGTGTGCTCCTGGGCGTACACGTACAAGATGCCTTTTAAGATCGTAAAGATCATAAAGCCTAAAGCCTGTGCTATATAATCTGTTTCATATGGATCATACAGCATAGGCTTTTATTTTTTTATTATTATTGTAAATATATTTTATTGATTTTGTACAGACAGGAAGGGAGAGAGAGAGAGAGTTAGAAACATCAATGAGAGAGAGTCATTGATCAGCTGCCTCTTGCACATCCCCTACTGGGGATATAACCGCAACCAAGGCACACGCCCTTGACCGGTATCGAACCCGGGACCCTTCAGTCCACAGGCCGACGCTCTATCCACTGAGCCACACCGGTCTCGGCAGCATAGGCTTGTAGAACCTCCCGGGGTTGGGCAGAGGCATTGGCTCATCCCAACCCCCACATCTCTTTTTATGTTCCAGGCGATAGCAGCGACTGCCAAGTCCTGTATGACCATACCGCCTACCCCCAGGCCCCTCCCAGCCCCCCTGGGCCCCAGAGCCCAGAGGTGCCCTTGGCCCTCCCCAGCCTCTGTCCCGAAGTGGCCTCCGCCCGTCCCTCTGGGGTCCCTGAGCCCTCACCCGCCATCGCCAAAGCCAAGGAGTTTGTGGCCGACATCTTCCGCAGGGCCAAAGAGGCCAAGGGTGGGACCCCAGAGGAAGCTCAGCCTCCCTCCCACACGGGGCCCTCCGGCAGCTGCTGCCGCCCATCCTCTGAGCCGGTAGCCCCAGGTGCAGAGGTAGCGCCCCAGGACAGCCCCCCTGCAGCCGAGGAGCCAGCCCCCGAGCCTGGCTACGTCAACTACACGAAGCTGTATTACGTGCTGGGGTCCGGCGAAGGGACCGAGCCAGAGGATGGTGAGCAGGGAGTCCACCCAGCAGGCAGGGTCCCGGGCATGGGAGGCTGGTCTGGAGTGGGCCTCAGGCCTCCCCCCACCCCCACGGCCTCTTCCTGCCCCTTCAGAGTTCGAGGATGACAAGATCTCCCTGCCGTTTGTGGTGACCGATCTGCGTGGCCGAAGTCTGAGGCCCATGCGGGAACGGGCTTCCGTACAGGTGGGTGCTGGCAGCAGACAGAACAAGGGGCAGCCCCAGGGAGCCGGCAAGGGCGGTGCTGGGCACTGCCCTCCCTCTGCCCCTCCTCCCACTGCCCACAGGGTCAGTACCTGACAGTGGAGCAGCTCACGCTGGACTTTGAGTATGTCATCAACGAAGTCATCCGCCATGATGCCACCTGGGGCCATCAGTTCTGTTCCTTCAGCGACTATGACATCGTCATCCTGGAGGTGGGCCCAGGAGTGGGACAAAGCGGGCTCTGGACCTCTCTGCTCTGATGGTCATCCTCAATAGCTGTCACCATCCACCCCTCGTCCCCCAGGTCTGCCCAGAAACCAACCAGGTCCTGATCAACATTGGCCTGCTGCTCCTGGCATTCCCATCCCCAACTGAGGAAGGCCAGCTCCGGTGAGTGGGCAGGGGCCACAGTGAGACCCTTCCCTGAAGGAGAGTGGGGGTGTGAGAAGACTCCCCCAAACCTGGGTCAGGCACTCTGTTAATGCTCCACAGACAAAGCCCCTCGGGGCAGCCTGGGTCCTGGTTCATGGGTGTGGTGGTCCCACCCCTTTCTCCTCCGTTTTCCACCCACCTGCAGACCAAAGACCTACCATACCAGCCTCAAGGTGGCCTGGGACCTCAACACGGGCATCTTTGTGACAGTCAGCGTGGGCGATCTCACTGAAGTCAAAGGGCAGACCAGGTAGGCTGGGCTGAGGCCAGGGCCAGGGGTGGGGGCCAGGGTGATGAGATCGCTCACCCTCTCGCCCGCAGCGGCAGTGTCTGGAGCTCATACCGCAAGAGTTGTGTGGACATGGTCATGAAGTGGCTGGTGCCCGAGAGCAGCGGCCGCTACGTCAACAGGATGACTAATGAGGCGTTGCACAAAGGTGGGCCCCGTGACCCGGTGACAGGACAGGGTGGCCATCCCAGTGCCAGGCAGCCTGAGGAGACACCGACTCCTGGGTTGCTGAGTGGACCAGCACGGTGGCTGTGCTAGTGGATGGCACAGAAGAGGGGTGAGGGGAGGCATGCGGGGGCCAGCTCAGAGAGGGTCTGACAGGTGGGCACTGGAGACCTCCCGCCAGTTGCTTATTTATTTATTTTTTTTTTAAATATATTTTATTGATTTTTGTTCAGAGTAGAAGGAAGAGAGATAAGAGAGTTTGAAACATCAATGAGAGAGAGTCATTGATCAGTTGCCTCTTGCACACCCCCTACTGGGGATGTGCCCGCAACCAAGGTACATGCCCTTGACCGGAATCGAACCCGGGGCCCTTCAGTCCCCAAGCCGACGCTCTATCCATTGAGCCAAACCGGTCCCGGCTAGTTGCTTATTTATTCAGCAGGCATGTATTCGGTGGTTGCAGGCAGGAGGCAGAGATGACACAGCAGGGCCCCTGCCTTCCAGAACCTTCTGGACCCAAGTCAGCTCTGGGAAAGAGGGGGACTCATCTCACAGCTGGGCCTTCAGACACTCCATGGTCTGTCCCAACCCTTCCCCACAGGGTGCTCCCTGAAGGTTCTGGCAGACAGCGAGCGATACACATGGATTGTGCTGTGAGGGTCTGGCCGGCCTGGACACTGACTCCAACTACCTCCGCGGCCCGGGAGCTGGCCGCCTTCCTGGCAGCCTCTTCTTGGTTGGCTGGCCGCCCACCGACCGCCACTAGTGTTAGGCTGTGGGAAGGGGCGGGCGGGGCAGCCCCTGGTGGCCCGAGAGTCTGGATGCTTCTTATTTATGCCTATTTAAGTGGGGAAGGGGCAGAGGGAGGGAGTCCCCTGTCCCACCAGCCTCCAGTGCCTGCCTTTACCCTGCACGGGGCGTGGGTCTCTGCTCCTTGTGTATTTCCCCTCCCAGGTGACAGGTGTGGACACTGCCCCCCTGGGAAGCCGAATAGACCCCGATTCCTGCCTCCAGCCTCTCCCTCCTGGGTGGCCAACATCGTGGTCATCCTTTTCTCCCCCCCCCCCCCCCGCCCCCAATTGTTCCTCTTCATGTAATAAATGTTTTATTTCTGAACGTTGCCGAGTTCCCTTTACTGAGATCAGGGCGGCTGGAGCCCCGAGGTCCTCATCCCAGCCCCCGGCAAGGCCCTCAAGTCAGCAGTAGCCAAATATCACAGCGGAATTTATTGTTTTAAGAAAGACTACAAAAAGGTAGAAAACGCTTGGCACACTAGACTACCACACTTTCACTGCTGGGAGGGCAGGAGGGGAGAGGCGGCCACCCCGAAGCTTGCAACACTGCGGAGCACACAAAATAGTGATTTCTACACAACAGGTCAGGTTTTTTCTTCTTTTTTTGTGTGTGATTTTTTGCCATAAACATCTATCTCACAGGTTGAAAACACTGAGAAAACTGAACAGATAAGGCCATGATGGTTGGAAAAAAACCCAAGTTACTGACTCTGCTTGGGCGGCACTCACAAATCGCACAATAGTCATGTGGGGGCGGGCGCACGGCAGGGAGAAGCACGGAGGTTCCATTTCAGACCAGCCAGGGCGGGACTGGTGGGGGAATGGGGGTGGTGGTCTTGGGTCTGAGCGAGTGGAGCCCAGGCCTTGAGGGCAGGCTACTTCTGGGCCCTGCTGCCCGCAGCAGGCCCCTCCAGGCTCCGGCACCAGGCCCAGCCCACTGCTCTTTGGAAGCTGGGGGCAGTGCCCCCTGCAGCCTTCCCTAGAGCCAGGCTGCCTTCCCCAGAGCTGGGCCGGGCAGTGCCCCCTCTAGGCTGTGGGGCAAGGGAGAATCCAGCTCTGGAGAAGATGCGACACCCACGGCTTTAATTGCACTTATACCAAGGAGGAGGGGCGGTGGGGTTGCTGGGGAAGGGGTCCTGGGGCTGCTGCTGACAGTGGGGGATCCCTAGGTGATGCCCACCTGTGCCCACCCGGGGCTCAGGGCTGGGCCCAGGACAGGCTGTGCAAAGCCAGCGAGCTGAATAAGTTAACAGGGAAGGGGGCCTGCCTGCCTGCCCCCTGAGGGGTGGGGGGAGGCTGCTGCCTTCCGGGTCAAGAGGCCAGGCTGCTGCCCAAAGGGCACCTGGGCACAGCGGCGGGTTCCGTAAGGCACGTCTTTTGTGTCAGTTTGCAGCTGTGGCTTTACCCGGCCTGTGATTGTGCCGGTCCTGTAGGGGGTGAGGACCCCCTTGACTTCCCTGTCTGGGAGGCCCCCTCCCCACCCTGGCAGAGGCTGGAGTGGGGACAGCGAAGCCACAGGAGCTGTGAGGGACCCTGGAGTGGAGGGGTGGAGGGGGCGGGCGGGGCGGGACCGGGAGGCTGCGGGCTTAGCTGGAAGGCAGCGCCTGCACGAAGAGGCCGCGTGTGTCTGTCCGAGCAAGCTTGGTCGGAGGCTCCAGAGCCTCAGGGCCCAGCGCAGGAGAGGGAGACTCGCTGCCCGCTGCCAGCGAGATGTCCTGCGGCAGCTCATCCTCACTCTCCTCCTCCTCTTCCTCCTCCTCATCTGGGGAACACGGACCAGAGCCACTCAGTGCAGGGTGCTGCGGCCCAGCCCCCTGCTGCAGGTGCCTCCTTCACCCGAGCCCGCGACCGCCCCCTCCCACAGGGACAAGCCTCGCCTACCTTTGTCTGGGTCCAGGGGGTTCAGCGAGGTGGCCAGGTTGGCGAACTGGAAGGAGGAGAGAGGAGAAAAGGTGAGGGTCCCGCCAGGGGGTGCCCCGCCCGCACCCTCGGCGCTCCCTGCGCACCTCGCCCATGACGGCGATGGGGGTCTCTCCCTTGGCCTGAGCCACTCGGTGCTCGATCAGGTAGTACATGTACTCGTCGTAGAGCAGCCGGATGAGGTGGAAGGAGCCGAAGCTGGCCGCGCTGCGCAGGGTCAGGTCCCTAATCACCATGGAGCTGGGGCAGTAGCGGGGAGGAGGCGTGAGGCCGGTTCCGCCGCTCCGCCCCTTGACCCCACCTCCCCGCTGCGGGATCCAGCAGGCCCAGCTACCCTGGCCCTCTTCTCCCCTACCCCCCCCCCCCGCACCCCCAGGCTTCTGTGCGGTGTGCACCAGTAAGAGTGGAAGGCCCTAGCGGCCTCCCTCCCCCCCCAAATAAAAGACACCTGCCTTCAGAAAAGACCGCCTACGCCCGCTTTGGCCCCCGCCCTCCTGGGCCCGCCCCGCCGCGCGCACCTGTAGAAGGACCACTTGAGGAGGAAGAGCTTGGCGGCCTTGGGAAAGCCGGCGCTGCCCTGGTAGGGCTTGAGCACCTGACTCACGACGCCATCCAGCCAGGCCGCCCACTGCTCCAGGGAGTTCTGCTGCTGCAGCGTCACCTTGAAGTCCTGCTCCAGCCGCTGCACCACCCGGTCCTCGCAGCGGCACACCCACGAGGCCTGCTCCTGGGCACAGCGGGAGGGCGTCCCCCGGCTCAGCCGCCAATCCAGGCGCTCCCGGCGTGGCTTTGCTCTCACCGGCCCGCCCTGCGCTCACCTGCACGTTGGCGAAGTCCACTCGGTTGAGGTCGCTCAGCATCTGATTGATCTGCGCCGTGTTCTGCAGCACAGCGCGCGCCGCCTGCGCCAAGTGGTTCAGGGACGTGTACCGCCGCAGCGTCTGCGCGAAGGCGCCCGCAGCCGCCACCTGGGGGCGAGGGGTGGGGGTTGTGGCTTCCGGAACCCACACTCACTGCAACCTCTCTGAGCCCCTTTTTCCCCTCCTAAGTAGAATGGGGGTATACGCGTTGCTTTTGTTGGGAGATCAAGAGGTTGGAAATTTCAAATTTGGGGTATCCACCTACCCAAAGCATAGGTCCAAAAAACCCAAACCAATGGTTTATGTCTGATCACCATTAATATTATTATGAAAGGACACAACAGAAAATCTGAGTGCACTGCCCAGAAAGGGCATTGCTTCAATACATTTTTATCCGATTATGTTTTTACTATTCCAGCGAGTGTCGGCTCCAAGGTGGAGTTTTGTTCATGTTGGTCACTGTGTGCCGCCAGCATGAAGAGTCACGCAGGGCGGACAGTGGGCAGGTAACAAATGTGTGTTTAGCGAATGAATGAATGCATGAGTCCTGCCAGTTCTGAAGGGCTTCCCACTGGATCCAGCTGCTACTCTCGCCCCACAGGCCCCCAGCCCTGCCCTGTGCCTGGCGTTTTCAGGGGTGATTCTTTAGACATCAGCTTTGTTTAGCTGGCTTGTTAGCATTTACAAAAAAAACCCAACAACAACAACAAAAAAACACCCTTTCTTTTTCCTTTTTGCCCAAGGGCAAGCACACACCATCTAATTCCTCACATCTAAGTAGTTAATCTAAGTAGTTAGTGAATGTGTAGCATTGATAGAGGGCTATTGTTCTGTTTCCTTATAAGTCCTTTAAAAGAAAGATTTTATCTATTTCTGAATACTTTAAAGCACTTTCTCTTGAGGTTGTCTGAAGAAAATGACTTCAAGTTTGCAGGTTTTTTTTGTGTTTTTTTTAACTCATCACCGGAGGATATGCTCAATGATTTTAGAGAGTAAGAGAGAAAGAGAGATGTGAGAGAGAAACATCCATCAGTTGCCTCCCAAACACACCCAGACCGGGAATCTAACCTACAACCTTTCTGTATATAGGATGACACTCACCAACTAAGCCACACCGGTCAGGGATGCAGTTGGTTTTTAAGATTCTGCATTGTGAGGTATTGTTTCAGAAATGGGTAACTGAGGAAGCCAGTTTGGAAAGACAACACTCAAAGCTCACTCCCAGGGGACAGGCATGGGGATAAATCTTTTTAAAAAAATATATATTTTATTGATTTTTTACAGAGAGGGAGAGATATAGAGAGCTGGAAACTTCAATGAGAGAAACATCGACCAGCTGCCTCTTGCACACCCCCTACTGGGGATGTGCCTGTAGCCCAGGTACATGCCCTTGACCGGAATCGAACCTGGGACCCTTCCGTCCGCAGACCGATGATCTACCACTGAGCCAAACCGGTTTCGGCCATGGGGATAAATCTTATTGCCCTTTTGGGCAGAGGTACTAAGACCAGCACGAGTCCCAGACCTCGGCCCTGCGGCTGGGAGGAAGAGCTAGGTTGAATCCAGGCTGGCCCCTCGCCCTCACCTTCACCCGCAGCATCTCCTCAGGGATGTTCACCATGGCATGAGTGAGCCAGCTCTCCAGGCTCTTGGCAAAGTTCCGGATTGCTTGGGTCAAGGCACCTGTGGGTGGCAGTGAGCGCTGATGAGGGCAGAGGGGTGGGGGCGGGGAGTGGGGCTGAGGGGGCAGCAGCAGGGCACTCACTGGGGATGGGCCGCAGCACGTCAGGGATAAGGATTTCCACCAGGCCCTGGTAGAGCACGTTGTCACAGTGCTTGGTCCACTGCAGCACTGGCTCGAACTTGGACAGCAGCACCAAGTTGGCCTTGGGCAGCCGCTTCTCAGCCTCGTCTTGCCTGCACACACACCGTCTTGGGTCAGGCAGGTGCTCCCTGCCTCTGCCTAACCCTTAAGGTCAGGCCAACATAGACTCAGTGCCCCAGGGTCCGATGGGCTCTCATACTGGGACACAGGCACCCACCTACCTATTGCAGGGAAGGAATGATTCAGGGGGGCACCCCA